GTGTACCCCACCCAAGGTATTCCCCATCCAGGGTGTGCCCCATCCAAGGTATACCCCATCCAGGGTGTGCCCCATCCAAGGTGTACCCCACCCAGGGTGTACCTCATTCAGAGTGTACCCCACCCAAGGTATTCCCCATCCAGGGTGTGCCCCATCCAAGGTATACCCCATCCAGGGTGTGCCCCATCCAAGGTGTACCCCACCCAGGGTGTACCTCATTCAGAGTGTACCCCACCCAAGGTGTACCCCATCCAGGGTGTGCCCCACCCAGGGTGTACCTCATTCAGAGTGTACCCCACCCAAGGTATTCCCCATCCAGGGTGTACCCCACCCAAGGTGTACCCCATCCAGGGTGTACCCCACCCAAGGTGTACCCCACCCAAGGTGTACCCCATTCAGTGTGTACCCAATCCAAGGTGTACCCCACCCAGGATGTACCCCATCCAGGGTGTGCCCCATCCAAGGTATACCCCACCCAGGGTGTACCTCATTCAGAGTGTGCCCCACCCAAGGTATTCCCCATCCAGGGTGTACCCCACCCAGGGTGTACCTCATACAGAGTGTACCCCACCCAAGGTATTCCCCATCCAGGGTATACCCTACCCAAGGTGTACCCCATCCAGGGTGTACCCCATCCAAGGTATACCCCATCCAGAGTGTACCCCAGCCTTATGCCCTATGCTGCCTGTCAAAGGCTCCAGGCCCTCTGTGACCCTGACCCGGAGAAGCAGTTACAAGATGGATGGATGGATGGAATGCTTTATCTGTAGGGAACATCTCTTACAGTCTGTCAGACTAAAATACAAATCTCACCATTTCATTCATTCATCTTATCTTAACTCCTCATTTGAAATGACATTGGTACTTTCCATCTTAATGAGGGATTTAATGGACAGGCATCATTTTATATGTCACCTCAGCATTTTGTCCAATGGGTTGTTCATTTTCAGGCCATAAAAGACATAACAGTCGTGATCCCATAGTCACAAACAAAATGATTGGATGTTTTTGGAGAAAGTGTAAAATGCAGATTGGGATTTATCTCTGGTTAAAGAAGCAGCTGCATAAGGTGATGGAAAGAAAAGAGTAAAAACATTTCTGCACGCTTTGGATGGGGGGGACACGAGATATTCGCTGCCTTCTCCCCCAGGAATAGGAGGTGAATCAGACTTGCTGGAGTGTGATTCAGTTTTCTCTGGAGTCACACCATTTACCATTCACAAGCACCACATCTATTAAAACCTGAAAATGAACAACGGTACAGGTTTGTTTTTACCCGAGAACCTTCCAGAAAACGAGAAAAAAGCCAAAGCAGCTGGGACAGCAGCCTATCTTGGAACACGGCACTGATCACCAATGGAAGTGCTCTGTCGACAAGGACGGCAGGTATCTGTCATCTATCAATAATGCTCAGCTACAGCAGGTACAAAGTGGCAAAGCGGGGCTTAGAAAAGTATGAGAGAGTCTGATAAAGTATTTCTCTGGTTTGCTATCTGTTCCTGTGAGCGGGCCTCCGGCTGGGGAGCTGAGAGCGGCTTCAGGACACCACAGAGCCTGGGGGCTACAAACAGGCTTCGCTTTGTTAGAAGGTGGGAGTCCAGCCCCTCGTAGGACTGAAACATGGCAGGTGGGACATCAGTCACACAAATCACATGTTTGGAATGTGGCAGGAGAGTAAAGGACCCAGAAGAAAGACAGACAGACAAACAGACAGACAGACAGAGACAGACAGAGACAGACAGACAGACAGAGACAGACAGACAGACAGACAGACAGAGACAGACAGAGACAGACAGACAGACAAACAGATTTGTTTGTATTCATACCTTTATGGGGACTCTCGCTTCATTTCTATGGGGAAAAACCCAAATCCCAGCTATGACAACCATAAGTAACCAAACAAAATACAAGACTTATGGCATTTTTAGTTTTTTGATGAGGGTCACAGATTTTTATAAAATTGAGATAATCCCTACTTACATTTCTTGAGTGGAATTTCTCTGGATTCAATATGACTTAAAATTGAGTGCCATTAAAAATATAGATAAAAATAATCATTTCCTGGAAATGACTCTAGGGAAGCAGGCCACACTGTAGTTGAGGATTGAGGTTACTTGTCTCTGTAGGTGAACTTGAATTTGGAGTTTCTGTGGAGTATAATCAGAAAGAACAGGAATTCAGTTCTATGATAACCAATAACTAACATACTGATGCCTTATTTGTTCATCATTAATCAGTCATAACAGTTCATGCATTTCAGTTACCATATTTGTTCATGATTTGTATTTGAGTAGTAAATGAGCTACTAACTTACTTGTGCCCCATCAAGTAAAGTGTTACCAGTTTTATGTTTATTTAGATACTAGTAACTACACCATTTCTTTCTCTTTCTTTTCTTGTGCCCATTGTATGTTTCTTGTTTTTTTTTATTGGATGTTTATTAATTTTTTTTGTTAGGTTTTTTGTCTTTGTTGTTTCTTATTGTTTCTTTGGTTACTTGTTTCCTTTGTCTAGTTTTGTAATAATGACCCATCTTGGGTAGGGTTTTTTCTGTTGTCGACTGGCTTAATAAAGGCTGATGAAAGTCTAAAAAAAAAAAGTCTTTCTTTCCCTATCTATCTATCTATCTATCTATCTATCTATCTATCTATCTATCTATCAATCTATCTATCTTCTATCAATTTATTTATCTATCTATCTATCTATCATCTATCTATCTATCTTTCTATCTATCTTCTATCATCTATCTATCTATCTATCTATCTATCTATCATCTATCTATCTATCTTTCTATCTATCTTCTATCATCTATCAATCTATCTATCTATCTATCTATCTATCTAGTGCTATATGGCTAACTCATGGGCACAGCTTCCCTTCAGTTGTGATGCTTAAATCATTGTAATTTAACAAGCGTGTTTAGTATTTTTCACTCTGAAAATGGCTGGTTCACTCTGGCCTCCGTCCGGCCAGAGAGCCTGATGGAGGTAAGCTGGCTTTGCTGAGATGCAGCAGCATGTTACCTGCACAGAGCAGCCGCTCACAGCGCAGCAGAAAGTCAGTTCATGGAGGTGGAATATATTTACATCCGGTTACGCTTCCTGTAAGCTTACCTTCCTCTCCACCACAAACAGACACTTACCACAGCTCTCTTTCAGACATACTTGGGAAAATGACACGTTATAGCAGCCATTTCAGGCATTAAGTTGTTTTCCCCAACTGGCAAGCAGAGTTGCTTAAAGAATCATGAATACTGGACAAAAAGCGACGTATAACCTACAATCCTGGCAGGCTGCTGTCTATCTGTGTGTGTGTGTCTGTGTATCGATCCAGGCATCCCTTTGTTCATGTTTGCCACTGGGAAAAAGGTGAGGTCCACCCTGAAGAGGAGGCCGTACCAGATCTCTCTCTCACACACACACACACACAGAGACAGACACACACACACACACACACACACACACACACACACACACACACACACACACACACACATTAAGGTACAGTGGATATAAAAAGTGCACACCCCAGTTAAAATGGCAGGTTTTTAAAGTACAAGAAGCTGTTTGCATAAGTGTGCACACCCTTAAACTAATACTTTGTTGAAGCACCTTTTGATTTAATGACAGTACTCAGTCTTTTTGGGGACACACCTGCCATCAATTAAAGTGACTCTGATTAACCTCAAATAAAGTTCAGCCTGGGCCTGTACTACGAAGCAGGGTTACTGGCTTATTGGGGTAACTTGTCGGATTTAAGGTACCACAGTTTAAATGGACTTCATATTCATTAACTTACATTTTGCCCAGACTACCTTAAATCCAACAAGTTACCCCGATAAGCTTTAACCCTACAGGCCTCTGATCTAGTAGGATTTTCCTGACATTTACTCAGTTGCATCCTACAGCAAAAGCCATGGTTCACAGAGAGCTTACAAAGCATCAAAGGGATCTCATTGCTGACAGGTATCAGTCAGGAGAAGGGAAAGCAGCACTCTCTAAGACAAAGCCAGGGGTGGGACTCAAACCCTAACCTTAAGGCTTCATGCCCCAAAGAGAGCTGTCCTCATGTTATCACTAAACAATATAACTACATTCACACCATCAACACACGACAAACACATGTGCAAGACAGTAAAATATACTTCTGTGTGGACTTCCTGTTAATGAACATTATTGCTAAAAAAATAGTTTCAAATTATGATTATCTGTACATTATTGTTCCTTGAAAAGCTACATCATACAGTAAAAGAACTGAAGTATTGACTTAACTAAATTTGACAGTTTTTAAAATTGTTTTCAAACTTCTCTGAATTTCATGGCTCCTTCTTCAAAACACTTGATACATGCGCCTAATCAGCAGACTATGTGAACTGAGCTGTGTTTACTTCCGCATCGCTTCGATACAAAATGTATTCAAATTCACTTCTTCCAAAATTCACAAATACATTTCTCAGCAGAATTTTTTTCAGACATTTAGACACTGTTTGAAATGGTTAACTTTCATTTCGAAACCTAAGAAAATTTAGACCACTGTAGTGAGGCTGCATTTTTACAAATGAAACTACACAATATATGTGCTTGAAATAAGATTTTGATTTTATTCTGATTTTAGCTAAAGTTTATTCACTTTTTTTAATCTGCAGGCTTTCTTACCATCTATACAAAAATGTTCATATTTGCATTTAAATATGCATTGCGTGTGTATAGGTAACATGTTGATGTATTTGTCACTAAAGAGATTTTTTCACTATTGCTCCTGTATGTCTATACATATTTTCTTCTGCTTTGCAATTTGCCTCAATTTGTCTGTGTTGTTTACTTGATTATACAACGAGTGACACAGCAGACTTATGGGAGACAGCATGTGCTGTGTTCTGGGCGAAGTGTGAAGTGATTTGGTGGTTGAGGTTAACTGATGTGCTCAGATGTGTTTTATAAATCGCACTGCGGGAAGAGTTTTGATAAAGTGGACATGCTATTGAGACAAGTGTGAAAACGATTGTAAAAAAACGTAATATGCAAAGATGGCATGTTGATGTGGCAGCAGGCTGTGTGCCCCCCCCCCCCCAAACTGACTGGCGAAAGCCTGCAGGATCTCCTTCATGCTTACAATGGAAACGTCAAGGTGAGCAGGCCTACCAGTTCGATACCATCCCATACTGGTAACACTGTGGGGTTAGATCAGTGGCCTCACCCCGCCAGCGTTGGGGGTTAGAACCCCCCCTGAGGATACCTGGAATCTTGCTACAGACCAACCAGCATAAGTATCAAAGGTCGTTCGTATAAACAAGCCCTTTTTCTCTATAGATAAGTCGTTTATTTTTCTTTGCGGTCCAAAATAATTGAGGTCGTCTTGTCTATTTTGGAGCCGTGTCCTAGTTCAGCTTAGCGTCACGTTTACACGCGACCACACTCATCACCAAGGACTTCCCCCTGTTATCTGTCACTGCGTATGCATTGATTTTTGAGGAGATATTTGTGTCTTTCTGTGAGGAGCTTCAAGCGCTGTAGTCGGTTGGGATTAATGCATCTGTGGATCTACACTCACAGAAAACAGAGCACCAGTTTGTACCTTTGCTTGTCACTGGTGCTGTACCCTCAAGGGACTGCCAGTTGTACCCTTAGCTCCAGGTAAATGTACCTTTTAGTCTAATTTAAGGTACAGAAATGGATTCTCAGGAACATCCCCAAGGCATAAACAGCATTAATGTACCATCAATGGTACAAAAATGTTCCTCAGAGTCCACTTCTGTATCTTAAAAGGCACATTTACCTACAGCTAATGGTACAATTCGCAGTCCCTTGAGGGTACAGCCCCAGTGACAAGCAAAGGTACAAACTGGTACTCTTTTCTGTGACCGTGTAGCTGTGCTATGGGGCTTTAAAGGGAAGCAGTTATGTGATTCAATCTTTACACAGCTCTGGAAAAAATTAAGAGACCACTATATATTGTTAAACAAATCTGCATTTTTAAATCCTGGTTCTACTGCAGAAGGCTACACTGAGAGGCAGGTTGCTTCCAGGCTCAAAGTTTCTATAGTTTAAGACAGCAGGACACAAGAACAAGGTGAAGCAGGAGACACTGGGAACAACCAACACCAGCCAGGTAGAGGGAGGAAGCGACTTTCTAATGCCAGAGATGATGTCAACTTATCCAGCAGTGCCTCATAAATCGGAGGGTGACCTCAAGTGACCTTCAAAAAAATGGGAAACAATTAAGTGCAGGTGTGAAGTGCACTGCTAGGACAGTTCATATCAGGCTGCAAGAAGGAGGACTGAAGACCCATAAAGCAGAGACTACAGGTTGCAAAATAATGTATATTTTACACAGACACATACTCATATATTGGGAAATGAGTGAAACTGAAAATTTTGCTGTGGTCTCTTTACTTTAAAATTTCTACCAGAGCCGTATTTACTAAGTACAACACTTTTAGTAAAACTAAAACACTTTCAGATTTATCAAACTCTTTGATGTCATCTGTCCTAGTTTATTGAAGCAAATGCAGAGGATGAGAAAACAAACATTTCTTGACCTTTGAATAGATTACAGTATTGAATGAACCAGCTTTCAAAAACCATTCCATATATATATATATATATATATATATATATGTGTGTGTGTGTGTGTGTGTGTGTGTGTGTGTTTGTGTGTGTGTGTGTGTGTGTGTGTGTGTTTAAGCATTTACTAGCTCTTTCTTCGTAACCCGTAGATAATAGTATGTTAATCTTTCGGTAAAGGTTACAAAAATATATAAGCTGCTGTCTAAATATATTAATTCACTACTAAACAAGCTCTTGTGTTTACATACATTTAAGAATAACTTGGTTGCTACATTGGTTAACTGGTTTCGTCATGAATATTAAGCCGTTTCTGGTTAAAAAAAAAAAAAATCCTGTTTTCACAATATAAAACGTGGTTTTAAAGCTAGTAAATTCAGGTTATAATTATCGAAATTATACAAGCAAAACAAAGTGTCTATAGATGTAACCTTCTCTTTATTTTCGTTGTTACTTGCATGTGATAGTATTGAAATATAAACGAAACCACATACTGGATCCACAACTTACACAGAACTCATAACAGATTACAGTAAAGAATGAACCAGCTTTCAAAAACATTCTATTTTATATCACACACACACATACTGTATATATATGAACACAATACATTAGTTCATGGTTGGGTTGGGCGATATGCACCAAAAATCATATCTCGATATTTTAGCTGAACGGCAATATGCGATATATATTTCTATCATTTCTCCTGTACAGTAATAACAAAAAGACAGTTCCAAGGGGGGGGGCACGGTGACATGCGAGAGACAGACAGGGAGAGGAGAAACAGGTGTCTCTACGAGTATAATTTTAAAGCAGCATAAACTATATCGATATAAATGATGTCCCATCCTATATCTCTTATGAAAAACTTCATATATTGATATATCTTAAGAAACATCGGCCAGTGCAAAATTCATGTAGGCAATCAGAGATCAACTATCAATGCTATATTTAGTGTAATGGAATTATTTACCACACAAAAAATTATTGATGTTATGACTTTCTGTTTAAATTTAAAGGCTTTCTGGGGTGTAACAGAAGATGTTATTAAACTGCGGAGCTTCCTGCACATTCACTGCTCCTGTAAACAGTTCAGATCAAACTGCACCATCTCCGGACACGCCCCTACAGGGCTGTACGCAAAGTCAGACGCTTCCTGGGCCAACCGTAAAAGGCAGGGCAGGATATCCGAGCCTTCCTCACCCTCCTCATCCTCACTCTGGCCTCTGCGCTGGGAGCCCCAGTCGAACGTGGCAACTGGAGGGAGATCACAAAGGTGGCACACAGCTCATAGTGACACTTGGGGGGCGGCGGGGATGCCCCGTCGGGGATTTCCCGCATGCTGGTACCTGTCTGGCTGGCGGTCCTCTTCCTAGCCCAGTCTCCCATTCCCGACCTCCCTTTCAGGGTCTCGGTTTGGGAGTCTCCTCCAGGAGAGCAGGGCTGCGGGTTAAAGAGCTTTAAAAGAAAGAAAATGCCACAATTAAAGTGCCGTCATGTTGGGACAGAGGGGATTGTGGGTAATGAATCATAATAGCTGGGAGGGGAACTGACTGATTCTGGCAGCATTATGACTCGGATTAAGGACCAGAGGCGGAGAAGCCCACCTCAGTGAGCAGGTCCAGGCTGGACCCGGGGGAGGGAGTCAGGGGAGGATTCAGGGCAGGATTCAGGGCCGCCAGGCCGGTGTCAATCAGTGTGAGTGGGTCACAGGTTTCACTCCTTACCACAAGGAGAAAAAAAAACAGAGAAAGACGCAGGGTCAGCCAGCATTTCTGGAGCATATGGGGCTCAGGGCCTTGCGCAAGGGCCCAGCAGTGATCTCATTATTCTGCTGGCAATGGGATATGAACCCACAACCTAATGGATACCAAGTTAATCACTACCCTCATATTTCACATATTTCTTGTGCAAGGTGGAGGGGTAAAACTGTCCATGGGAAGGTGTGAAACCATGATGCACGCCTTATTGGGTTCTGTTCATTTTAAATGGGCAATGTTTGTTTCAAAAGGTCATTCAGAAATCCATCCATCCATGTCAAACATCAATGTCCATCAAAAAATGCTCGTGGGAGTTTTACTTATGCAAAAATGTTCTGATTGATGGCAGAAGGAAAAATTATTGGTTCAGAGGTGAGTCCAAGCAATTAGTGGAGGAGCGACCAAGACACCTGACTAGTTTGTCCTGCCTCCTCTAGTTGCTTGGACCCACCTCCTCTACAATCTGATTGGTTATCTCTGAACCAATCATTTTTCCTCTTGCCCTCAGAACATTTTATGCCCATGAGCTTAAAAACGCAACATGGCTCAAAAGCACGCCTCAAAGAGAAAAGATGCTCAAAAACCCATCTGAGCTGTCAACACTAAATAAATCAGAGTGCAATAAGCTGTCACTGGATCACATTGTCACCCTCACCGGGATTGACTACCGCCCTGCTGATGGTCGGTGGCACTCTCTCCTGTCTCAGAAGGCTCCAGGAGGGAGAGGTCCAGTTCAGCTGTGGGTGTGGAAGGTGGGGAGAGCACTGGCTCGAAGGTGCCTTCAGATAGGCTCCTGAAAGGGAAGGTGAGGCGAGAGGCCAATGGCATCAGTCGAAGCCAACCTGACGCCACATTAAGCTGTAACCCTGCTCATAAGAGACGCCAGCCCTCACCGGCCATCTTCCCAAGCCCCCCCCTGCAGCTCCAGCAGCTCCGTAACATCCGAGATGATCATCCCGTTTGGGTAGAGGCTTCCACCGGCAAAATCCAGCTGCCAACAAGGTCAAAGTGGCCAGTGGTCAGAGGTTTGATAATGGCCAACCCTACTGAGACCTTCAACGGAAAACCAGCGTCCAGCAGAGGGCGCCAGACGGAAAACCAGCGTCCAGCAGAGGACACCAGACAGAAAACCAGCGTCCATCAGAGGGCGCCAGACGGAAAACCAACGTCCAGCAGAGGACGCCAGATGGATACACCTATAACCTATACTGGTAAGAGCAGCCGATTTGGGTTCCATTTCTACAGGTTTTACTGGACTGAAATGCAGGCTTGGGCAGTCAAAGTACCACATACTGTGGTATAATGTCTGAACGGTATGACAATATGAGAGATACCCCTAAGTCTAGTGAAATTAGAGCAAAGTCAGATTTCAGGAGTGGCGACTGCGTACCGATACTCCTTGGAGTGGGGAGGCGCCCGCAGTGTCCTGCACGCTCAGGGTGCGGCTGTATTTCGGAGGCGAATGTGAAATACCTGAAGTGTCAATCAACAGCGGACTGCAAAGACACGAGAGGACCAATCGGCATGGAGCTTTGAGAGTGGGGCGTGGCTGACTGTGGAAAATAACACAGCTACAACCACAGCTCAGGACCACTTTAGTGGATATGGCTTTTGTTGTATAATTAGCATCATGAACCTGGGTTTGACCGACTGTCATGTGACCAATCTGTACACACGCGTCTGTCGGCTCTGTGAGGTGATGCCTGCCAAGCAGGGCTCGCGGACCGTACTGACACACAAACACCCTGCATGCTGCGGCCCAGTACGTACAGCTTCCTCTTCAGCCCTGCGATCCCATTGGACTGGACCGTGTTGGCGATGAAGCCAATCATCTGGGGAAGAGTGACACACAGGGGAATGTCACAGCGAGAGAGAACTTTTCACCCTCACCGCCTCACAACCTCCGAAAACGCCTCACAGCCTGACAGTACCCATACCTCCCAGCCGTAAAACGCAGGGGTCAGTGCAGACTCAGCCGTTCCCGGCCTGGGGAGGCACTCACAGCCCTGACAGCCTCCCCCCTGCCCTGTGACGCCTCATCACCTCTCCATCCCAGACCCCATGGCTAAGTACCTTCCGGATGATTCTGTGATGATGCTGGTACTTCTGTCTCAGCGTGTCCAATTCGTGCCCCAGACTCTCATTCTCCCTGAAATACATACATGGCATATAGCTAGTTTGTGTAATTAAATCTCTCTCCTCCTTGCTTTGACTCTGTATCTCTCCCCCTCACTCTTTCACTCACTCTCTCTCTCTCTCTCCCTCTGAGTCTCCCCCTCTGTCTCTCTCTCACACTCTCTCCCCCTTATCTTCTCCCTGGCTCTGTCTCTCTCCCACACAAATTGTGCTTGTTGAATTTTCTAGTGGGTCAGGCCAAACTTGCAATTTGGCCGTCTCGAAAAACTAAACTGAGAGGGGCAGGGCTGACGGACGCCAAGTCTATACTGGTGGAGCTGGTAGTGATGGGGCTGGAAGTGATGGGGCTCAGGGTGGAGTGTGCGTACTCTGTGCTGACCCACACCCTGCAGGAGTTCTCCACGGTGTGGGGGCTATGCAGAGTGTTGAGTGAACTCGGTGATGATCAAAGTCTAGTGTTGAAAGTATGACGTGCATGGTGAATTTTGTGAACAGAATATTTTGGTTTTTTTTATTTTTATTTGTTTTCTTTATTTTATTCATTTATTTTTTTGAGCAAGGCTTAATCATGCATTTGTGTTAATAAAGAGTTTTTTAAAAGTCAGTCACACTCTCTCTTTCTCTCTCTCTCTCCCCCTTATCCCCCCCCCC